TCCCGAAATTAGATAGGCTAGCTTCTTCTTCTCCACTCTAAAGGCACAGCCCAGGATTGGCTAAGCGGTTGTCGCACAAGAAATGGAAGGTTGATGAAAATAGGGTCGGCAGTAATTGAAAAATGATTGAGACCTCCGAAAACTGCTAGCCAGTTATCTGCTGTTCCAAGGCAATGAGGATCAAGGAGGCATAGTAGGATCAGTAGACAGCATGCCACGGGCGATGAAGCGGTCTCCGCACTTTTCTAGTTTCCCTGTTGTGCAATGTAGAGCCGAGATGGGAGATCTACGGTCTTCGCCAGTAGCTCTGTCTTACAAACCACAGAATTTCATCCACCTTAAGTCGTCCCAAGTTCCAGCAACTGCGTTAGCATTACCCCGCTGTCCAATGCCTAACCAAAAAGTGAGATTCTGAATCACATTGATACCGAAGCTGTTTGGAAAGACAAGAATACTGGGGTATACTTTAGCAGTTTCTTCATTGTGGCACCCTCCAATCGACCTCAAGATTTTTCCATCTTACAGCTACTCCTTATTAAGGAATATAAGGAATAAGCAATACACTGAATCGAGCAAGGAAAGTCCACAAGGTCTGATCGGCAGACTAGTCGAAAATTTCTTTCACTTTTCCGGTTCGTGGATTTGTGAATGCCGTGAACTCTGCAATATTTCTTAAGGGACTTTGACAAAAAGTTCTCTAAGAATTTACTTTCCTTGTTACAGAACAGAAACTTACAATGATTTTCGACACCGTCCTAGCTGAACATGCATGATTGCCCTTGCCGTGCATCTAAGAGTGTCTCTTCAATCTTCTCTTATTCGCACTTCTTAATCCTTTCTTTTTCTTTTTGTTATCCAAAATGTTTTTTTCATCTTTTTGACATCTGTAATGTAACATGGATATACAGTAGCGGTCAAAAGTGTTCACCGTAACGTTTTTTCGCGCTATTTTTCCTTTTGTCAGAAAAAAGCTAGCGGCTATCTCGGAACTTCTTTTGAATATCCTGATTCTTGGAGACTCAGGATATAAAAACACTAGAAAACATAGTATATCAATCTTTGGAGGGCGTTGCTCAAGTGAAAAAATAATGCACGAAAAATCGTTTCGGCGAACACTTTTGACCGCTACTGTATAAGTACTTGAAGAGAAGTAGAAAACGACATATACAGAACTATAATGTTCAGGAGCGTACTCTGCGTCATAACTGCTCCTCTGATCGGAAACTTGTATGCGGCAGGCACAAGATCTGTGCTTTTAATCAATATGTTGATTGTAGCATGCTATATTCTCTTCATTTGTTTTTTGAAGAAAACTCAGATCAGTGAGTCGCTAGAATATTCGCTTTTTCTCTTCGTAAAATGGAAGAAAAGCATCACCACTGATGAGCACAATGTCTCATCTCATAACTCAGGGGATTAGCATTCACCGCCTGTTCAGCAGAACTCAACTGAGGATCTCGCATCTGGGGTTTTCGGAAAAGACGTCGAGTTTGGTGAAATGGAATGACGAAGGTGTTACGAGAAGTTTTCAGGAAACGGAGAAACGACCAATTTAAACATATAGATGTGCATACAGAGGTGGAGGGGGCGATGATGAAAGAATTTTCCCCATACTATCCAAAAGGAATTCTCGAATTCTTTGCCGAATTTGAACCGAGTGCCGCTAAATAAAAATTCAAACACATTTCCATTCATGAAAAAACTCCACAGTGTGCGGCCTTTTACACCTTCGAAATGAAAAAAGAATACGTCACGGGAATATGGGTGCGAGGTTCGAGCTCAGCGAGGTCCTTAGCGAAACTTTTCGAACACGAATATGAGTACAGCATTGTGTTATTAGTCATTTGCATCGCGTACTGCGGCGCCTTCCAATCTATCTGAAAACTTATAATGGCCTTCTACACCGATGACATCAGAAGACTTTCCTACAGGAACGTGGTGCACTGCTTGAACTCGAAGAGGACCCCGACAGATCGTGGGCCATTAAGACTTACTGTGGAAAATTGATCGAATAGGGTCTTGCGTCAGAGACAGTGTCTCTAGTAAGCTATCCGTCACTCACGCTGGGGCGATTACGGTAGGCCTCTTGAGCTCGACTATAATAGCCGATGACGTCAGTATTCTGAGGACAGTAAACAAGGGCTCGCTTCTGCTTGTGGGGAAATATATAAAGAATAGTTTGCCGTGAACGACGGATCCCTGCGCGATGAAAAGTTTGGTAAAGCACACCATGGGCAAAGTGACTCTTTTCGCTCCTCCCCCTATACATTTAAGTCGCCACCCTTCATTTCACAGCTGGATAGTAGAAGGGTAAGTAGCGAATGTTCCCTTACCAAGAAATGGGACGTGACGACAGTTGAGGCTACGGCTGAAACTGGATGCCATTTAAGAGCACCATTATCTAATATGCCAAATTACGACTTCTCAACCATTGTTCTGTGTGCTTCCTTACAGGTAATGGAGCTATGAAAAACGTTTATCGATCACTGATTGCTATCAGTGGTGCGGTCGTCTTCGGCTCATTCAGCACGACGTTAATAAGCTCATTTGCTGAAATACTCAAGGTCAAGATAGACAGAGCAGACGTGGATCTCGTATCAGGACTATTCATAAATACTTCATGTTCCATTAATTTCTTCATTCTCTACGCTTTTAGGTAAGGATTTCTATAGTCTGAAATGCATTGTTCTGTGAGTGGTTCGTGATCAAAGAATCAAAACCGTGTAGACACACACGTGAAAATGATGTGTAGTATAGAAAGCACCAAAAATTTCAAAAGTATATCAAAATGCAACAAAAACTGCAAAGTTTTCCAGAGAACAAGACGAAAAGAATTCATGTGAGAGATTCCGCAACATTTCGTTGTAAAACACCTTCATTTAGCGTGACCCTGCCTGAGCTAAATTTGAAGCTACCCTTACGAGAGCCGCGCTGATAGGAAGTGCCTTCCGAATTGTCGCGGAGGTTTCAGTATTCTTGTGAGCACTATTTTTGGCCCAATGGTCGGCCTTCTTGAGCGCTGTCTTGGCTATTATTTTGATTCTTGTGTAACCTTACATACTTTTGAGCTTTCTTCTTCATCACAACCGATTAGGATAATTTGAACGCCAAGCAATAGAGGATCATACAGCAGACAGGCCACGGCACGTCCCCTTAACCCACATTTCAACGGTGTGGTTGGCTTCACTATTCGGAGATGATCGCGCCTGAACCATCTTGTGAACAGCAAACTCGATCACCCGGAAAAAACTGGACGAGCTAACCTTATTAGTAAGCTTCCTATGTGTACAAATGACAATGCCGAGACATCTCGGTAGAGGGGTAATTTTTTGAAAAGGTGGAAATCGTATTCTAATAGCTTTTCAGCTTAAAACCCGATCTGTGATTTTCACCTTCTTGTTGCTATCCCATAGCCCCTTCGGCTGACCAACCAGCACATTGAGCGCTCGTGAACTAGGTGGTTATCCAACAATTCCACTAGCGGTGCTGGCCTATCTTTAACGATTCGAGAGTTCTGACAGCAAAATCCCCAGCTCCTCTTTGTCCGACCCTCATTAGATGTCGGTGGAACACAAGAGGCTTTGTGCTGAAGACCGCCACAGAACAGGGTTCGACCGTACTTTGCAAAGGAAATTGCAAAGGAAATTGCAAAAGAAAATTGGAGGCCCTGGGGCTGGCGGCTTTTTTAGTCCTTGGCGGTGCACTAAGCTCGTGCCAGTGAATGACCTTTTACTCGGATCTCTAGCACTCTTTCCCAAAATATTCTACGCTAAGTGACATGATCTCGGAACCGACAATGATGTTCTTGGAATAGAAAGTGGAAGGACGGCGACTAGTTTCCCATGCAAAGACTGTTTGGTAGATATTAGAGGTGTATAATTGGATGAGCACACTTCAGTCAAATGAAAAAAATTAAAACAATTATGTGATCTATTAGTTCTGGGAAACTTTTGGAGCCTCTTTGTGATATACAACATTTAGGTTCCGAGGAACATAGGAAAAATCTTTTCAAGTTCCATAGTGGAATTTTTTTTACAAATGACACAAATTTAAAGACATTCTTCAGCCAAGACTACCGAGTAGTTTTTCAACAGTATCTATTCTGCACTCGTATTAGATGCGTCGTTGCTGTACCTGATGCAAAAATGACGGTACTGCCCTCATCTGCCGCTGGTCCCAGCTTCGCATCGCGACGGTTCACAACTCCAACAACTTCTGGATTTCGCTATTGAGATCTTCAGCAACACATGTTTTGTTCTTATGTTAGCTATTCACTGTTTCATAAGTGAGAAGATCCGTGCAGTAAGCCTTTATTTAGATCTACTCGAGAACAGAAAAGCCTGCAGTTAGCAGCGAGCTGGGGCGTGAGCCGTGTGCATTACAAATTGGATGGGGTTGTGGAAGAGTTCCTTTTACGCAGTGCGTCCCTCTTAAGCACGATTGTTAACCTTCATCACAAACTCTTCTGCGTCGTCGTACTTTGGGGCCTTCGGAAGGCTTGGCAAGACCAATGATTGCCCGGACAGAACTGGTGGGCAGCGGTCCCAGCAGGGCGCTAGCGATTTCAAGAGTGACGGAAAGTGGCGAGAGGCAACGTGTTAATGAAAGGACTTCTCGCCACTTTCTCAAGCTCACGAAATGCTGGTGTATCATTCGAACCGCTAGCGCATCATCGAACCGCAAAGTCTGATCTACCTGAGCTCTCAAATTTGCGTATTCGTCCTAGTACCAATACTTTGAATTATCAGATGTATCAAAAGAGGATCATACGATAAGGTCGGAGATCGAAGAAGGGGAAATGTACATAGTGGTAAGGCAGGCGGGCCTCCGTAAGGGTGCGAAGAAAAGCGTTTCTCACAGAAGACAATATCCCTAGCGCTCTTGCAGAGCCTTACGCGCGCCAAGGTACGCTCACACTCTTGCCGTCTCATCATAGGCCTTTGCAGAGAGAGCGTTGAAAGATGCACCGGTGAGAGCCGTCAAACGCGCAAATCAAAGGGCAAAGAAAGGGTCCAATGCGAGACCGTTTCTCATGATTCCCTTAATCCCTGCATCACTCAACCCTTACCTCAATTTTTGATGCCCTGATTTTTCATCGCACTTTCCTTTTGATGCATAGGCATAATAAGAACCCGACGAACTCACAAAGTGCCAGGCGAAAGTTAGCACAAAAAAGCGGGGCCAGTGGTCATACTTCCTCAAGCCATTTTTGTGATCTGGCCACACAGTCGTGAAGTTTTGTCTGGTAATTTGCTGTGCTTCTATTTAATCTTCTGTTGCTCATTAGTGGCAAAGTCTGGGAGCGAAATGATGTATTATTGTGCTTGTAAGTGACATGAAGATGTGAAGTGTGACGCAAGTAGTGAAACAAACGGGAAGAGATTGTTGAAAAGAATGAAATGGAGCGCTCTTTTCCACCAGCGAAGCTTAATTCTTGGGCATGCTCCTCCACCTTGTTACGTGGTGCCAAGTGAGTAAATGCTCTACACTCACATTTCACTTCGCATTTCGTGAGCAAGAATTTCATTTCGATCAGAAATTCCGAACTTTGCCTCCAAACGGACATATGAAAGACCCACAAAAATCCCTAAGATTCTGTAAAGCACGCCCTCGTTGCATTACGACGCTTGGCTGTGGTGAAAATGCTGAATGCCTTGTATAAAAAAAGGATAAAGCATTTGCCGTTGATCAATCCCTTTTGGGATGCGGCACGCATTCTACTTCCATTTGTACATTCGTAGTGGCGTTTGAATGCGATGTGGCCTACAAGTCAGTGTTTTTATCCTCCCAGACAAGTCTGGTACCAATTAACCGACCCCGGAGGGATGGAAGGCTTGGTTGGCCCGGGCGACTCACGACCCAGGATTTGATCCCCGGACCGCTCGCGTGGTAAGCGTGCCACTTGCCACTACACCACTTCCGCCCCAATGCCTCGTATATATGCACAAAATACTCCTCCCGTATAATTTTACTTTTCTGCTGACAGTCGTTGTGCTCTCGATTTTTTTCGTATAAAGAAGTGTCAAACCTTCTAGCGACTTTGTTGATATGATAGATTTCCAGCAGAAAACAAGTTTTCTACAACT